TATATATATATATATACTATGCCTTGATCCTGAACGCGTGAGCTTGTCTCGTTGTGAGAATTTTGCTTCAATACGAATGAATACGAGTTTTCTGAGATTGTCATACTTCTCTGAAACAAACGTTAATGAACGCGGGATCGATGGTCTGTGACTTTCAACAGTTCGTTAAAACCAGATGCTGCTTCAACAATCAGTATTTAGCAAACGTCGGCGGAGCGAAAAGAATTGTATTTCAGGGCTTGTCAAAGATTTAATGGACATTCCATTAAATCGATACGTTCTTTCTTTCATAATAGATATATCCACCTTTTCCCACACAACGTCACACAACACACGCTAAGCGACTCCATCTACGTTCAGACTCCCTCTCACTTTATATATTTTTCCTCTGACTTTTCAATTATCGAACTTCTCTTTCATTTTATTGATATTATCCGTTACATTTGAACCATTAACTCATTTTGTAATTTGTAAACAAAAGCGATAAAGTATGTGCAGCTTTTCGTTGAAAATATCGAATACCTTTTGTATAAATAGCCAAGTTAAATTATTCGGTATTTGCAAAAAGAGGTGCAAGGCATGATATATAATTTTTATAACATAAACTCGATAACTGATATGAAAATATAATCTATATTTTACATGTTTATGTACGATGCGAAAATACAGAAAAGCCCTGTTAATAAATTCATCTGCTATTTGCTCCTTCGTGGTATCAATTAAATCGCTCCCTTCGATCGAGCCAATAAAATATTACCGCGAATTACCGTTATATTATTGATTATATTATTGGCTATATTATTGATACTTTTCCCACTATTTAGCACAAAAAAGGTGTTCCATTGACAGTCAGGTTTACACGCAATCAAGAGATCTTGATAATCTCTCTTTTGAATAAAGTGACATCGAGTATACAGAGTCGCGCGCGAGTTCTGCTTCTTGAAAGTAAGATCTAGCATATAAAATTGTGATTCGCCGCATCTTATGTCCATTACTGATTATCTCATCGCGAAAACGACATAGACAAATACGAACATGGCAATGGGATTCTAGAATCCTCTCCTAGGTGTTTCTAATCCCCATGCCGCGCAACCGCTCCGAAGACGATGACGACAACGAAGGTGTGCCTCGCGTGTCCGAGAGCAGCGAAAGATGCGACAATCAGACCCCTTCTGTGTCAAAGGTCGACCTCCGGTGAAGACACCTGGTCGGGCCCATTACGGAGGGCGGGAACAAACGTTTGGCCGTCGAAAGCGTATAATGGGACCACGATTAACTCCGATTCACTCCGAAAGCCCGCAGTAGAACGCATTTCTTTTTCCAATATTTCAGATGTCCTCGCAGCATCCGAATGTAGAAGCTTCTTCGGAACGTCGCCTTGCGTGCCTTGCAAAAAAACGTTCTATATTGCAAAAGTGATATCAGAAATCTAACGTTACCAACTGAAAATTCACGTTTGAAATAAATATTCTAGATAGTCAAATCTTGGGATTTTTACAGATTCTGATACCTGACTCGGATCGGAATATGTTTAGCCACTTTATCTTAGATACAAATATCTCGAGAATTCATTTTTGAAAAACGTTTCAAATAAAAGTTGTAACGTTTGAAAGGGAGATGAGTATTTAGATTTTGAGTCCAGATGGGCCAATCCTCATTAAATCCTACAACTTTTATTGAAATATTTTTTTTCAGTAATGCATACTCAAGATACTTTGTGTCTAAGTTAAAATGATCAAACAAGTCGGATATAGAATTCATAGAATCCCAAGATTTGACCATCTAGGATACTTATTCTAAATCTTTTAATTGATAACGTCAATTTTCTGATATCATGTTTGCAATGTAACATGTTTTCTTGTCAGATACATCTATTTTCATCACTGTTGCTCTTTCTTCTTCTCATGGGTTTATTATTTCACTGTTCATGCGTCTCCTCGAATTTCTCGAACAGAACGTTTGGAATATCCTGATATTATTCGACTTCTTTTTAAATTCAAACGGTGTCTGTATCGCTCGTCGTACACCGGATTACACGCAAAGCGACAGCTGAAGCATTCTGCATTCGATGTGCTACACCGAACACATATGCACATCGACTTTATTCCTTACCTGTATTATATCTTATGGGATTTGTTTACACTTGGCGAAGCGCACGGATCAATAATCGTCGCTTTTAGCGCTGGATATTACTCCGTTTTCGCTCCTATAAGAGATCGCACAGCAAAGGATACTGTCATCCGCAAGTCCAAAATTGATCTTACTCCACATAGCTCTCAAGACGAGTTTTTTTCTGTTCGTTTTTTTTTTCTCGACCATAGTAGATCCGTAGTTTTCACACGATCCGCTAGTTATTTGCGTGAAGTATCAATCGAGCTGTGGGACACGCTCGCTAAATCGCTGCAGTATAGTTCGCCCCATCGCATCACCCCATGCCATTTAAATGTCGTAGCACGTAGCGTGTTTATTTAAATTTTATATCGATCTCATGATATCTGCATATATCCAAGCTCATCTCCAAACTCTCTTACGCTTTTTTTATGCAACACATATTAGATTCGCGTAACGAGATATGCGCCTGTGCCTCGCGGCAAAATAATGGAAGGTTTCCTGTCCTCTCGGAGGAGTGTTTCAAACTGATTAAAAACTAAAATAAAACGATATTTCAAGTGTCATCCGTAAAAATTAATCGTCAGAGAACGAGCACGTGTTACGAGTATGACACTTTATCGGGAGTTTGATTTAGTCATAACGATTTTTCGAAAATATACAGTGCGGTTTGTCGTGATTTTATCGCGGGGCACAAAAGTGCATGATGATAATGCTCTATCGTTTTGTCCATTCGCTCGGATGCGTATCGTACAATTGGCGGAAGCGACATTCGCGATTAATCCATTATTTATTAACGTTCGATCCATTGACGCGTGCGACACGTGCGTTCGAGAGAAGCGATGAGTCTCAGAATCATCTTGTCATGATGCCTCTATCATTTCCGCGCCTCCATTTTCGCCCATCTTCCTCCTCCTCCCATCCTCTCATTCATTAATGATCCACCCACACCGCAAATTATATTACCTCGGTAAATTAAAATGAAAGCGAAAGCGAATTAATCAAAGCAAAAAAAAAAAAGAAAGAAAAAAAAGAGAAATAAGCAAAGACAAATACAAAGCCCAGCGATCCTCGGTTCACGGCGACCGATTTAATTAATCGATTTCTTTTGTTCTGTTCCGGTCGACGTGTTAGATGGTCCGACAAATGTGAAGGTCAACATCTTTCTCCGCTCTATCAGCAAAATAGATGATTATAATATGGTGAGTGCAATATACAAGTAATCATCAACAAGGCCTTACAGTCTGTATATCCTCACATATTGTGTACAATTATATTAAAACGTCACGTGTATATGATGCCGTAAGATTTGCACTTCTCTGTACTTGTATCTGTATTACGTGTATATGTATACGTATATATGCATATATATATATTATCAGTCTCATCTCCCGCGCGCGTGACATCTCTGCACACGTACATACGTATTATACATGTATATGCATACTCTCGTGCGTCGCGCTGACAATGGATGTGTGCTAATCGCACCTCGTTGATTTTTCTCGATGTCATTAACTGTCATGTTAAGTCTATATACATACATATTATACAGGCCGTCCCGGCTTTATCGTGCCCGGGTTCGATGCATGGAGTTTTTGGCTGAATTCAGGAGTCGGTCTCTTCTTCAAAGGAAAGAGAGCAGGAAGGAGAAACGGATTGGCGATATCGAAATCTTAATGCGAATTCTATGTCGCAAGGGAATACGACACATGGATGATTCATGTCTGTTGTTTTAATTTAACAGACTCGAATGTATTCGAACATTGAAATTAATCGAGAGGTTTTCGTTAAGGAGAAATCGACTTGGGATTGGCTGAAGAATCCGCGGTGACAAAGCACGGTGAAGCTGTCACTGAAACTCTAGATATATCGAAGTAGCGCAAAGTATCCTCCATTTTCGACTAATACCTCCATTTTGTACCAATAATACTAAGCGCTTATTGGACTAGGTCGAAAATGGCGGTCGAAACAGCCAATAGGAAAGTTGTCGGCATTTCGGCTCGGATAGAAAGATTGCGCTACTTTGGTACATCTAGAGCTTTAGCTGTGTCGCGCCTGCAGTGTACGATCAGTAATTTGTCTGTTGCTGTATAGGATGCTTTCCATTTGAACATGACACAAGTCGGTACGAGTGTCGTTCTGCCTTTCTTGACATTCAGGAAGTAACAAGATAAAACGACGCTTTGTGTTGATCTGCGTCATCAAGTGAAAAGCACCCATACTGATCGTACGAACGTTCGATTGATTGTACGTTGCAACCACGTCTTGTGCCTTGTTGGAACCTTTGGCTATAGAGAGACTGACCAACATGTGCCCGCGTGAGCGGCGAAGGACAATCATTCGCAAGTTCAATTCAAAATGCGTTCCGAGACACGTTGCGGGCCTCAGGTTTGCTCGCCGAACAAACGAGAGATAGTAAGCTCGATATACACGCACATACGCACACGCACATTCACATGCACACGCACGCGTGTCTCTGCCTCGTTGATTGCAAATGCAAATGATATCTGCACAGAGAGAATTATTATTTTTAATTTACCCTGAAAATATAATAATAATTGTGATACAATACAATATTTTAAAGATTTTTACCATGTACTTCAATAAAATTGATTAAACTTATTTTATACTTTATTATAGTTTTATTAATGAATGGAAGAGAGATTTATATTAAAATTCCTCGAAATACAATGTTGTCCCACGACTATCATATTTTCAGAGTATAAACTCTAAGAAAAAATTCTCTCCGTATGGAGGTCGTGGTCAACGTTAAGTTTAGTGGCCCAAAGTGGAACAAGAAAGTCAAAACGATGTCATATCGACTGGTTATTGATCGAATTTATGTTATTTTTTTTTTATCATAATTCAGTCAATGTGATATTATTTGGACTTCTTGTTCTTCAAGGATGGGTTTCGCACGATTCCTTGGAATTCTGTGTCAAGATGAGAGTAGGCAACCGATATTCTTCAGTCGCGCGAGACTGGAGGGTGATCTTTGTTACTTACTCAAAGCTATGTATAACACATCTTTTGTCGGAGAGGGATATTTATATCCCACGATAGGCGGAAAAATGAATACGAACGATAAACTTCATATGAATATGTACGAGCGATAAATTTCACATGGTTCAATGCATTACAGAGTTCTTGATATTACGGTAATCATTGCCATTCTTTTGTTGATTCATTGATATACGTCAGACACGATTTCGGATGGAAACTCCATCATAAATGACGTCCAGTCGAATTCTTCTCGACATCGCGGTTCGAACATTGATTTTTCTATTTTCCCAGCCGTCGCGCGGAACTCGTCGAGATAATTGGCATTCTGTTTCGACGAATCAGAGACTCGTTACGCTTTACACGCCAGCATCACACGATAAAAAAACAAAAACGATATTTGTTCACATATCCCTCTTCCTATTTTCGCTATTCGGACATCATTCGCTTGTAATCATTAAACTGAACCACGGGATAAATATTACATCGGAATCGTTTACGCGTTGAAGGTGTTGCAAGAAAAAAAATCGGTCGTTCAATTTTAGGCCATGCAAGAACCGTCCCTTTCTGTCGTCTTTCTTCGTCTTCTTCTTTCGCTTCTCTCTTTCTCTCTCTCTCTCTCTCTCTCTCTCTCTCTCTCTCTCTCTTTCTCTTTTTCTGTCTCTTTTTCTGTCTCCTTTATTTCTTTCATATATCACATTCTCATAAGTACGGGCACGTTCGGCATTGCTTATCCTGACAAATATTTGTCTGAATGAGCACATCGTCGCTTAGGAATAAATTCAAGAGGGATGGGAGGGAAATTCGCGTGGGAATAATGCGGCTGTTAGAATTTTCATTGTGAGCAAATATATCGGAGACGGTAATGGCGAGACGAGGATACAAACGCGTCAAGACGGAAGATCGTAACCCGTTCTCCGTAAAGAGCGCACGAAGAAAGCGCATTGTGAATGCACATTGTTTAAGCGGCGCCTACAGTAAGATTTTAGGACGTAAAACTCAAGTCTAAGCCTTAAAAGTTATAAGAAATTGATCAGTCAATCAAGTGTGAGAAGAATAATCGACTACGATATTTTCAATCGATAGTCGATTCTTATCTCAAGACCGTCTTAAGTAATGTTTTAAAACGCTAATATGACCCTCTTATTGGTTCGTGACAGAACCTCCAAGACAGAACTTAAGACGGTCTTGAATATAAGAACTGACTATGAATACCGACTTATTGGATTGGTCAGTTTCTTACGACTTAGGACTTAAGCTTAAGTTTTATGCTTTAAAATCTCATTGTAGACACGCGAAACAAAATTTAACACGTGAGGCTGCTCATCGGCGAGGAAAATGGAATACGGACGAATCGCCGAGCAAGCTGATTGGCAGTATTGGCTCCGAAATCTCGTGGAACCCTCTGTGACCTAAACAAAACTTTGAAACAATGTCTGACGACGGCGAGTCGGAAGTCCCGATTAAAGTTAAAAAAAGAGAAAAAAGCTTCTCTGATGTGATCAAGGAAATTAGTAGAGCAAATTTGTGTGAAGGACGTAATGTGAAAACTTTTAACTTTAATTGAATTTTCTTTCCGGCTATATATATGTCTTTATGTATATGTATATATATATATGTGTGTGTGTGTGTGTGTGTGTGTGTGTGTGTGTGTGTGTGTGTGTGTGTGTGTGTGTGTGTGTGTGTGTATATCCCATTTTATCTTTCATCTAGCAATAAAGTATTATAATATTTTTTATATTTCAATATTTCTCTTTCGCGATTCTTGATATTCATAATCATCGAGCTAATTATAAAATTACATTTATTGTAATAATATAAAAAAATGAGAGAGATCAACTTTAATAACAACTGTTAAATATTACGCCGTTCTTTTCTCGGATATGAACGTGTTGAAAAGAAATAAAAGTCAGAACAATAATGACACGGTCCATAGAGGGTTCGCGAGCATTATTTTTCGCGACATATCCCACTATCCCATTGCCATCAAGACAATTGCCGGAACAACAGAGTGACGATATATAATACTTTCTTACTCGCTAAAAATGACCCATTTCACAAGGGGGATCGAGAGAGACTCGACCAATTAGCCTTTTGTCGCCTCGCGATAATCGAGTTGTGCTTCTCTACCCGTGTAAGTTGGAGTGCATCTGCACTCCAGACACGTTTAAATATCTCGTGCGATTTCCCAAGGGGGGAGGGGTGGGGGAGGGGGGAGTGGGAGGGACAGTAACAAATCGCCGTTTCCGCGTTAATTACAGACGACGCGAGAAAAAGGAGCACTCGTTTCGTCGAGCGGCCGGCTTAAACGGCAAATATATTGCCCTAAGTGCGCGTAATTCGAGAATTTTGCCCGTAAGAAAGGTAGAGATAGCGATGACTGTCGTTCGTTAAAAGGTAAGAGCCAGGGAAAAATTACGAGCCAGCTGTTACCGCGCGCAACAGCTTCCGGTACAACGGTAGTCTGAAATATCGGCGGCTATCTTTATCTTTATATTACGGCCGCAGGATCGTTTTCGACGTAAATTCGAGGGCTACATTGCGATTACCCTCCCCATTTTTCTCTTCCCTTTTTTAAATATATAGAACACTTTGATGATTTTTTGGATGCTTTGCATTTGTCATTGTGTAGCATAAAATTGAGATATTTACTGTGTGCTAGATCTTATACGTCAGGATTATGTATGAAATCCCTCTCGACGTGTCGTTGTGTTATTGGTATTTATTATATATAATTTTATGTCATCATCGTAA